CCAGGTCCCCCATAGATTCTGAGAGAGGGGCTGGAGGACCATTGAGGAGGGTGAGGCAGACCCCATGTGGCTTCAGGGAGAAGAACCTTGCTGTCGAAGGTGGCGAAGAAGGGGATGTATGGATGAAACTCCTCCGCGGCGTCCTCGTAGGCCTTGAAGTCTGAGGGGGGAGCAGAGTCAGTCTCTGGGGCAGCAGGGTCTGCCAGGGAGCCATTTCCCCTGTCTCCCCCAGTGCTGCTTTGGCAGGTGGGGTTCATTCTGAGACCCACCCCCTCTAGCTCTCTGAGAGTGATTAAAACATGATGTGGGGGGAGGTGAACTGCTGGTGGGGCCTGTCTGGGAACCTCCAGAGTACAGATCAGAGCAGTTGATAGAACTGACCGTGGCAAGAGGAGTTAGGAGGCAGAGAGGCTATGCAGTGGGTGGAGTGGGGAACCCCGGGAGGAGAACCGCGGCATCTCAGGGTTACCCACGCTCTGAGTCTTTGTTTTTGAAGTAGCCAATGAGTTTGTTCTCATCCTCGATGTTCTCAAATGCCTGCAACTCTCGTTCACCCTCAATCAATTCCACAGGGTCCTCTAGAACCTGGAAGAGCAGGGACATTGAAGGAAGAGGGTGAGTTTCTGTCTTCACTGGTGGAAGCAGGTAGAGGGATGAGGGAGAAGGGGGCTGGGGAACGGAAGGAAGGGACTCTCCAGGGTGTGTGTGTGTGTGTGCGCGCGCACGCGCGCGCGCACGCGCGCAAACGCACGTGCGTGTAAGGTTGGGGTTGGTCAGAGATGGGCATGCAGGTCCAGGGTAATGAATCCTCACATCAAGCAGAAACTCCACCAGGGTGTCAGCAGAAAGCTCGCCATCATACTCAATGACTTCATCTCCTTTGAACACATAGATGCTGTCTTCTTCAGTGAGTCCTAGGGAGTGGGCCAGAGGTGGTCCATGATCTCAACCTTCCCGCAGGGCCAAGGGTCCAAATCCAGGGCTGCAGCTCACTCCATAATCCCACTGGACCCCACATCGTCCATCTCCCCTTCTCAGCCTCGCTCACCTCCACTGCCCCTGAGATCTATACCCCATTCTGGTCCCTAGATTTACCCGGGCGGCTTCCCTGGCCCCGGGGACACTCCAGGAAGAAGCTAGGATCAGGTAAGGGTGTTAGGGGAGGACTTAAGGAGATATATAGAGTCTAGCAAGATTTCTCTCTTTCTGTGCCTGCCATACTAGAGAGAGACATTCATGTTAACCTCCTCTGAGGACTCCAGTGGCAGCCAATCCCCAGTCTAGCCCTTTAACCCTCTGCTATTACTGACCAGATGACCTCATCACTGATTACCCCTCCCCCATCCACATCCGGAGTCCACTCTCAGGCATGTGCTGCCCCCTGGTGGCGGTGCTGTAACACCCTAGCTACACTCTAGAGGGGGAGGAGTGGGAAAAAGATACTGCAGTCTTCTCCAGTCCCACTTATTTTTTCTGATTCCCCCCCTCTCCTCAAGCACCTAGCCCTGAATTTTATTTACCTCAAAAACATATAAAGAAGGCCATGTCCACCTCTTTTTGAGATTTGAGCTTGGGTCTCTATAAGGAATAGAAGAGAGGCTGGGATCCTCCCAATTTTAGCATATTCTCCGCGCCTTTCAGAATAGTTATGGTGGAGTCTCTAGCCTATGCAAGGGCTGGCCTTCTAGTCTCACATTCCATCTTCCCCTCCCTGCATCCCCATCCATCCCTTACCTAGTTTCTTGGCTACAGCTGCATCCTTCTCAGAGTCCACCATCCCGAAGCCAACACCCTTGTCTTCTAGGACTTGGGCTGCTAACTGCAGGGAGGGTTAGCGTAAAGTCAGCCCTGGAATTCTTTGTAACCCCTCCTCCCCATCTCATGCTTTCAAGTCGGGTCATTTGGGATGCAGGGGATTGAAGAGTTGACCTTGATGCTGTGCAAGTTAGATCCAGAATATCTCCACTTCCCCTATAACCACATCCTTTTGATCTTTAGCTCATTTTTAATCCCTGAACGTTTATTGCTCATTTACATGTGCTTATCATGATGAACTTTGAGGCACTATGCATGATACTACCGGTTCCTTGGGGATGCTGAGGAGTCTGGCTTTGGAGGGACTGGGACCGTTCCCTGGCCCAGGGCTGAGCAGTGTACTCTATCCTCATCAAAGGCAATGCTGATTATGGGGTGCTGTCCCTGAGATTCTCCCCAGAGCACCCCCCAGTGGTAAGAATTTTGGAAGGCTGGAGGATGGTAGGGGTCTGGTCACATTGCTAAAAGAATGGAGAACTTCAGAAGAGCTGAGAGTAGAGGTCACTGTGGCCAGTGCTCGTCACCTTCAGAGGGAAAGAACCAGAGACTAGAGGTGAGACAGGGCTGGCTCTCCTCATCCGGGTGAACTTTCCCCTTCACTCTTTACCTCGGCCCGTGTCTCTGTCCCCTTAGCCTGCTTTCAGCCCTGATATACTCTGCCTTGGGCACAGCTTGTGGCTTAATACAACTAACACAGGCTCGGCCTCTAGAGTCTCAGGAGGATGGGAAATGAGGAGATTGGCAGGTGGATGGCCTCGGATGCTGAGCACTCGGGATAAAAATACTCAGCTCATTAATCAGATAGCAAGTTCCAGCACCCGGCAGCACAGAGAAGTGAGAGCCTGTGGTCCTGGTGTCTTGCCCTGAAATACTCCTAGCTCGGGGCAAGCTGGGGCCTTTCTGTACTGCCAAGCTAGAGGAGGAGCTGCCAAAGCTTGGACAATGAGCCGCTAACATATGCTGGTGCCTGGAGAGGTGTGTGTGACTACATAGTCTGCCATCCCCAAACACAGGTTTTTTTTTTTTTTTCTTGTTACAATAGACCCTCTCTCCTTTGGGCCTGAAGTCAGCTTGGGGGTGAGAAAAATCTTCCCACAAAGAGAAGTTGGGTCATTCTGAAGCCTCCTCCAGCCACAAGAATTTTCCGATCAGAACTTCTGGCTTGAAAAAATATAAAAGAACTCTGGCTTGATCCAATGGGGGAAGATGGGGAGTTAGGGAGGAGAGGAAGAGAGAAGTCAGTGGGGGGCGTAGTGGTCTTGAGTAAACCTTTAGCCATGAAATAAATGACATGCAAGTAAGATATTAATAACATTTAAATTTATACTTAGTTTGGATCTCTTTGGGGTGCTGCCCCTACAGTATATGGAGAGGGGGATGCTCTGGCTAGGAAAGTAGATGGGTGAGTGTAATCCCTTTTCCCCTGAAGAACCTCTCTTTTCCTTTTTTATCCCCCTTCCAAGGACACCCCAGCCCTAGCCAAGCCTAGTACAACCAGCCTCCTATAGCATGGAGACATCTTGCAGTCCTCCTCTTTCCTAAAATTGCCTGACTGGTGGTACTTTTGGATACCCAAGTCTCTGTTTCTCAAATTGACTAAGGCCACATGCCACTTGGGTCCTGTTGGTCAAAACAGGGGTCCTGCCACAATGCACCTGGCCCCCAGATCACACCCTCAAAGACCTACATGAGGTTGTACGATGGGGGAATCTCAGAGAGGGGCTTATTGTGTTCTGCAGATCTGCAGACCCCACCACTCACCTCCAGGGTCAGCTCTTCCATCTCAAATTGTCTTTGTGAGGCCTTGTCATCCTCGGGGGGCTCGTGGTAGAGCAGTGCCAGCACCTCGTACTTCTTGAAGACATTTTTGTAGTTCTTTGCGTTGACATTGACCACACGGTCCACACCATCATACTCGGGAAAGTCCAGCCCATCCTCCCCTTGGACCCCTGACTTGGGTGTCCCAAGCACCAGCAGTAACAGTAGTGCCAGCCGCAGGCCCAGCACAGCCCTGGCCCCCATCCTGTCTGCAGCACGCATGGAGGTAGTGCAATCTGAGTCAGCTCTCCTGGTCGAGAAGAGGTTTGCTGGGATAGGGAGGGGCCCCTGGGTCCTGAATCCTGAGTTAGGGGCTCACAGTGGGGGTGGGGTAGGGAATGGCCTAGAGCAGTGGACAGAGGACACTGCTGGGTCCTGGAGAAACTGTCAGTAGAGCCAAGAGAAAGAGGGTCAGGGGGAGGAATAGGAGCAGGGGGCGGGGAGGGAATTGGAGCTGCCCCTGAGACTGGCACCCCCTGGCCCCACCTGGTCCTGTCTAAATATGTCTCTGGGGTTGGCAGGAGAGATGGGTAACCTTCTGAGGCCAGGACAGCTCCATGAGGCAGGAATTCTCCCACCTCCTGCTCCTCTCCTCCAGGCTCCCAGAGCCTCCTTCCCCTCCCCTTGCTACAATGTTCAGGGCTCCTCGGCCCCTGTCCCCACACTAGCCTAAGAGCTCAACTCCATATTAAGAAAGGAAAAAGCTGGAGCTAAAAATAAGACCAGATGAGTCTGGAGATAAATGAAGCTGGGGCTGGGGGAGGGAGAGGTTGGGGTAATTAGGAGAAGTGAGGGAGAGCAAGGGGACTGAGAGAGAAGGAAATGAGGGTAAAGAGGAGGAGATATTCTGGGTCAGAGGTTAAATTCATAATACAGGAGAGGAAGGACAAATGCAATGTTGACTCTAAGGCTTAAAACATGGAATATCTTCCAGGTGAAGTCTGTTTCTTTGATCTTGTGAAGAGAGGGCAATAAAAACGTAACCCAGGCTATAGGAAAGAGACCCCCTGCACTTTCCTTTAAAGAACAAGGACCAAGGATGAGATCATTCTCTGCATAAAAGATGGAGGCTTGTCCGGGGCTGGCAACCTGGCTCAGCTCCAGACTGTTTCCTTTACTTCACTCAACACTTCTACCTTGGGAATGCAGGTGAAGGACATACGTGGGGTAGGAAGTGCCGGCCATAGTCATCCTGTAGAGGCATGCGTTTGGGCTTCATATGCTCATGAGGAAGGAGAAAGCCCTTCGCTACTGCCTCCTGTCTGAGCTTGCAACTGATCCTATGGGCTTGGTTTTCCTGAGGTGCAGAGGGAAGAGACGGTTCCCAGACCAAATGGTTCCAAGGAGAGGAGTAAATAGTGGCCATTCATTCCTACGTCTTTGACAAGGAGGATCAGGTATAAACACTAGGGGAAAAATTAACATTGGGAAATCGTGAAGAGGTGGACTGTATGTCCGCAGCCAAGGATGTCATTTAATTCTGTGCACCTGAGAGCCAACTGGCAAATTGAGGCATGAAAGAGATCATGGAGAGGGTAGATCATAGTCAGAAGCCCCTCCATCTCCGTCCTGAGATATCTCTGATTTTTACTGTGGTGTTTTGCATGCAGACAGTGGCATGAAATTCTGTTAGAGTAACTTTTAGAGTAACTTTTCCACATTCCCATGGGACAGACCTTACACGGCTAAATAAGGAAGGCCATGGAAAATCTCAGGATCGTGGCAGGAGTCGGTCCAAGAGGGACAGCTATCACTGGAGCTGGAGATGCTAGAGCTAGCCTAAGAGAACATGCTGGAGCCAGAAGGCCTCAGAACCCATCTCCTGGTCTCACAGGAAAGTGACTAACATGTCCATAGCCCCACAACCAGAGTAGACAGCAGGACAGATGGGCAGACCCACCTGGAAGTAGATGACCTAGATGACATCCGGCCCTGACTTTTCGCTTCTGCCGCACTCTGGGGGAGGGGAAACATTTGGACAGAGACATTGGAACATAAGACATATCTATGTTGTGGCTGACCTTCTGTACCTCCAAGGGTGTGAGATGGGACTAAATGGTGGCTCAGGCCTGCTCCATTTCCTCATGCTCTCCTGCAGCCACAAGACCTTTCATCCCATCCTGCTCCCTCTCCTTGCCCTTAGCTCTCCAGCTCTGCCTTATGCTTTCCCCCTCCATCCTCCTCTCTCTGATGCTTTGCTCTCTACTCAGTCTCTTCTCTTTGGGCCGCTGCCTTCAGGCCCTTGGACTTAGCAGGCTCAGCCACTGGTATCGAATGACACTGAATTGGGGCCTCTGTATTTTTAACCCACCAGACACCCGAAGCTCCTGCTCCTGAAACCTGAGGAGCTGGCCCCTCCACACCTCACTTCCGCACACCCTGGCCCTCCATCTTCCAGGGTCTGGTTCAGCCATGTCAGCAGCCAGAAAAGGACCCCAGACTGATATAGCCCTGTCCCTAAGAGACCTTTCATTGGAGGAGGGAGGGGAGCATGGGTGGGGAAACCTCTGAGGAGGGGCTGATATAGGGGAAAAGTGGCTGACTCTACTTTACAATGGCCTTCTCTTTGCTAGCTCATGGCTTCCCATCCTCCAGACGTGTCTGTGGCCCTTCAGACTATCCTATTTTGTTTTGTTTTGTTTTGTATTTGTATATTTCTTTGGCTCAGCTTTCATTGTAAGATTAGTCTGAGAAGGGCACAAGTTCTGGAATCAGACAGACCTTGGTTTCCTCATCTATAAAATGGGGTGGAGTGATAAGAATATATTTGTTGTGTGAATTAATGGATGGTGTGTGTAAGGCCCTTGTCCCACTGCCAAGCATAGTGAGCAGTCACCGAACACATGTGCTTTGTTTTTGGTGACAGTCTACGATTTCCCCCTGCTTTCCTTAGCATTTCTCTCTTGCTCTGTATGCTTTTGGTCACAGCCAGCCCTCTCTTTTAAAAGAGGCCTGAAAATGAACTGACCCACGGGGCAAACTGGACCAACTCACAAAACAAAAGCCAGTGAATGAGTGAAGAAGAAGGAAGAACTGCCACTAAGGGTGGACAGGAGAGAGAGTCTCCCTGGGGACTCCTCAACCTCCTGAGACACAGCAATGTGTGTGTGCTCAGGCTCAGGCTCCAGGCATTTGGGACTGTCTGTCATCCCTTGTGAGGCCTGGGGCATGAGAGGGTGTGGTGCTTCACCTAAACTAGAGGCTATGGGGGTCCAGAAAACATTGTTTCAGCCTCTCTCTCAAGGGACAGAGAAAAGGGACGGAGGGGTGGGATGGGTCACGATGACTCCATGATGGCAGGGGGTAGAGGGCAGGGACAACTAGTGCCCTCCTCAGAGGAGGAGCTGTGGCCCCACATTCACCACTCATCATGTGACCCTTCCCAAGTCATTTAACCTCTCTAGACCTCAGATTCTTATTGATGAAATAAGGTCTCTTCTAGCACTAAAACTTTGATTCTATAAGCTGATCTGAGGAACTGAATTGGGGGCTAGATGAGTCCACTTGCCAGCACTGGATGTAGGTGCTGGGGTCCCTTTATAGGTTGTGGCTCTGCTGATCTTTTCTCACCCCACTCTCATTTCTCTCATTTGTCCTATCCTTAATCTCCATTGGGTTGGAAAGTGGCTTTAAGATGGGGATAGCCCTCCAGGGGCAATGATATTTGATTCTGATCCCCTCCCAACCTCGACTGTGGCCCCTGACTTCCCCAGCCTGGCTGCCATGAAGATAGACTGAGAGCATCACAGTAATCCCCACTATCCCCAAATCAGATGTGACGCACCCAGCCAGGTGAGAGATGTGACAAACATTTACTCTCTAGACTGGCTACTGATTCAACAGGACAAGGCCCCTCCCTGCTGGGCTCCAGTCAGATGTAGGCTGGGCTTCTTCCCTCTCAACCCACTCCATCTCCTACCCACGGTGCACTCAGTCCAGCCCCAGGATTGCCTGTCTTTCTCATCCAGTGTGATTCATCCCAGCATCATTCTGTCCCAACTCAGATGTCGTGCCAAACTCATAATTTTTAACCCTGTACCCAGCCCTCAGGACACCACTGTGTCATGTGAAGCTCTTCTTCTCCTGACTTTAGTAGTATGTCTCCCTCTCCAGCCAGCCTGTGGAAGAGAAGAGATCAGAGTGAACTGGAGAAGGCTGGAAGGTGGCAGCAAGGGGAGATGGGCAGAAGGGTAAGCGAGGACCCGGTGGGAGGCCTGAGGCTGGAGCAGAGGGCACTGAGGATCGGCAAGAGCAGAGTGGTAGAATAGAGGGCTCGAGGACCAGGTTCCATGCGCAGGCCAGGCAGTGAGAGGGGTAGAAGGGCAATAGGCCTGGAAGGACCAAGCGGGATGGGAGAACTATTTAGGAGGCTTGTGACCACTCAGTCAGAGTGGGGTACAGGGATCCTCACCGCCAGGATGACGACGGATGGTGAGTTTTCTTATTTCATCATAGATAAAGATAAGAAGGCTGTAGGGAGAGGCACAGAGCCACCATAATATCCTGTAGAGAGCAAGAGTTAGTCAGCGTGGCAGAAGACAGAGGGACCAGAGTAGAGCAGGCACAGAGAACAGGCATTGAGTGTAGGGTTGATCCCCACCACTGAGGAGGTCAGAGCCTGGGGCTGAGGGAGGAGAGGGATAAATGCCACATTAGAGGTAAAGGTAGCGTTCACAGAGATGATCTACTGAGTTTGTGAAGTTGCTAAGAGAGGTCCCCTATGCTTTCTGGGAACTCTAGGTCTTGTACCCACCAAGAGGAGGTTGTCCAAATAGGAGGGGTCTATCTGAGAGTTATTTCTCCAGGGAAT